TTCTGGATAATTTTTAATTATTGCATTATTCCTTCTTTGATTGTCTTGCATATAAACAAACTTTCTTTCCATTTCTGAAAGTCTATTTTCATTTTGTTGTGTTTGCCGTTTGACTACAAGTTGTTCCTGTTTACTTTTTTCAATTTCTGCTTTATTCATTTGTATTTCTCCATGTATTGTTTTCAAAGCTTCTTGTATTGCCTGAAATTTTCTATCTGAGCTTTTTCGTTCCGCATCCAACTCTGTTTTCATTTCTTTAGTACTGGTCAGAATCTCTTGCTTTAATAACTGAGTCTCGCTTTTGATCAGATCTGCTATTTTACTTAACATTTGACTACTGCTCATTTCTTTCTCCGATTTCCCCGGTTCTTCCCTCTCACTTCTTTCTTCTGATCCAGTTGGTTTTGCAGTTAGACATGGCAATGACATAGAGGTACTACCCCCTATTTGGGGGGGGGGTCCTTCTTAGCTGATTAGCTGGTTGACCACTTCCAAATGTCTTTTACCATAAAAACCTATGATGGAACGATCAAAGTTCTAGAAATTAGAATAATAAGATGATCTACTTGTGGTGCTGTTCAGATTTGGCAAAGAGCACACCACAAGATCATACTTGACAAATTATTTCATAGTTCCCTTGTGGCTTTGGTGTCAAACAGTGGCTGCTCACCCTAACCCTAACTCTAACTCTAACCCTGACCCTAACCCTAACTCTAACCCTAACGTTGTCCATTGCTATTTTCAACTTAAAACTGAAATTTGAAAATTGTACATTCTGGGGAACTCAGTTCTTGGTTTTTACTCTGAAGGACAAGATGTCCATAGAGCGTTGGAGAATACAATGATGGATACACACATGCTGGAACAGTTCATAGATTGTGACCTCGAATTATTTGGAAACCTGTAAGTATGAGATCTTATTTGGAACCTTAAAAATATTAACCTTGTCCTCCACAGCAGTTTTCTTTACTTTCAGATAATATGTTTGTATACAGAAAATCCTAGTATCACATTACAGGTATACATCAGTTAACAAACTAGATGTGTTCCTCTGCATTCCTTCTTTAACAGAAAATTTGGTACCAGAGGCAAAAAAATAACATGGAAAGAATAGGGATTCCACAAAATGAAAAACAAGAGCAGTTCAATATGTTTCAGGAAATGTTTTATACAGGACAAACAATATCCATAACCACATCATTGAAGCCTTGTTTAGGAGAACAAAAATAGTTTAACCCCCTAGAAACCCTCGAAGGCTCCTTCCAAAATGCATCCAAGGGTGTTTTTTTCTCTATTTATCCAGGTTTCACTTCTCTTATGATTTCCATTTTGGTAGTCAAACTTAGAGAAAAAACTTAGTCAAACTTCATTCACATACTGGGGACATCACTTTGACAGCTCATTTTTGTCTGATTTTAAAATCTTTTTCTGTGGGTTGTTGTAGGTTTTTTCAGGCTATATGGCCATGGTCTAGAGGCATTCTCTCCTGTTGTTTCGCGTGCATCTATGGCAAGCATATTCAGAGGTAGTGAAGATGCTTGCCGTAGATGCAGGCAAAACGTCAGGAGAGAATGCCTCTAGACCATGGCCATATAGCCTGAAAAAACCTACAACAACCCAGTGATTCCGGCCATGAAAGCCTTCGACAATACATATTTTTCTATGTTTTTTCCCCACAGAGAAAGCTAGGGAAAACGAACCACTGCAGTTTAGGTGCATTTGGGCTATGTTTTCAGAAAGGGCTCACTTTGGAGGGTTTCTGCAGGCATTTAGGGTTTCCAAGAAGACTGCAGGTCACCCTTCTTATCTCTGATTCAACACATCTCAATTTAGGGCTGCCAACATAACTCAGGCCTGCATGTCACATAGGACTGCAAGATTGTATCTGGAAGGATTTTTTTTCTAACTTTGACCCTAAACAGATCTTTGGATCAAGACAAAGTACTACAAAGCTCTGTCAAGTCCCCTCTCATATTTTACACCCCAGGTTCAGCCACAGTTGTCCTCTTCCTCATTGTCTATTACTTCATTGGTGGGTATGGGGAAGGGAAAACAGGCACAGAGGAGAACCCATGTCCTTTTTTTTTTTGACTACATCCACATTGCCTGACCCCACCAGCAAGACAATGGCCATGTTGGGAGGGGATACTGTTGGCTCAAAGTTGAGGTTTGGAAGGACAGATATCCTTATCCCACTTAATGGAGTTTTGGGGAAGCCCATCCTGCTCCAAAATATGTTAAAGATTAGAGTTACAGGAACTCCCTCCCAGGTCCAGTCTGGTAACTGTAATGAACTAATACTGCAAACATTGTTTTTATGTGACTCCACTTTCAGGCAAAACAAACTACCTGATTCCCCACCAGATTCAGGATCAGAACCATATTCGCCACCACACTCTCAAGGTCAGTTGGTTGCTTGCATCCTAATTTCTTGGCATTTGGGGTATGACTAAGGCTCCCTCTACACTGCCATACAATCCAGGATTATCAAAGCAAAAAATCCAGATTATCTGAATTGAACTGAATTATATGAGTTTACACTGCCATATAATTCAGCACAAAGCAGATCATCCGGATTTTATATGGCAGTGTAGAAGGCGCCTTACTTTAATGTTTGCTTGAGACAGAAAATTTGGGTTATTCTCCCCTCCTTCTTTTCAGTTGCATATCATGATACTTCATGCTGCAACATGCACCTTCTTTCTCTTCCACAGGACTAACCAATAAGTTTCCTGGCAATTTTTTGGAGGCAACTTGTAAGATGAATCCTAATGGACAAGTCTCTCCTGCATACCAGGACTACTCTCCGAAGACAGGAAATGCTGTCACATCCTGGATGAGTTCTATATCTACAAATAGCCTTGGTTTACATGGCTCTCCAGAAAGAACTTCTCTCAGTCCTAGGTAATTTGTCATTTTTGTTTGATTTAATGGAGGAAAGAAAGTGTTGCTGGAACTACTGCAGATTGAGAAGCCCTTATCCAAAATCCTTGGACCCGGAAGCCTTTTGGAGTTAGGACTTTTTGGATTTTGGAATGCCAATATTTTCATATATGCAAATAATGAGATATCTTGGAGATGGGGCCCAAATCTAAACACAAAATTCATTTACATTTCATATACACCTTGTATCCATAGCCTGAATGTCATCTTATACATAATATTGCATGAAGCTTTCAGAAAGCTAGTATCACTACAGTCAGCCCTCCACACTTGTGGGTTTGAGTTATGCAGATTTGATTATTCATGGATCAGATCAGTGTTTCCCAACCTTAGGTCCTCCAGATATTTTTTACTTCAATTCCCACAATTTCTAACAGCCAGGCTGGGATTTCTAGGAGTTGAAGTCCAAAACACCTGGAGGACCAAAAGTTCGGAATCACTGGATTAGATTAAAATGTTTTCTCTAGGAAACTCTAGACCCTCCACTGTATAGAGCAGGCATGGGCAAACTTTGACCCTCCAGGTGTTTTGGACTTCAACTCCTAGAAATCCCAGCCAGTGTATCAGCTGTTAGGAATTGTGGGAGTTGAAGTCCAAAACACCAGGAGGGCCCATGCCTGGCATAGAGTCATGCTGGAGGACCTAGAGAATCCTAGAGAGAACACCTATCTAGGAATTTTAGGTCCTTTACTGTTATCATATAGTCAACCTCTGCATCTATTTCATCTCATGCATGAAGTTATAGATCTAAAGATGGTTCCCCATATTTCCACAAGGTGGCAGCATTTAAATATGTAAAGCTCATTTTTATGTATGTGGCTTACTCAGGGGTAAATTTGATTGTGTTAAATGGAGCTTCTTTGCAACCCAACATGCATGGGATTACAGCCCTTTTAGTATTGACAATATTTGGTGACATGGGCTACACTAAGGTGCGACTAAGGCAAAAGACAATGGCTATTATGTTATATTGTAATATTATGGACATATTTTAAAAGTTGATAATCCTCCTTTCCTCACAGTCTTTCCTTGACATCCAAAAAGAGGAAACGACCTGAAATGTTGGAAGACTCTCTAGAATTTCTAACATGGCCTGGCGACATTGGACAAAGTAAGTAAAACTGAAAGGGAAAGAAGTCACGCGTTACAGCTGATATGCACAATGCACCCCATCTCTCTATTGATAGTTTTTTAAAAAGTGGAGTTAGAGGACATCCATAAAGCACAACATATACCACGTTGAAACAAGACTCTATCTATCTATCTATCTATCTATCTATCCATCTATCCATCTATCCACCCACCCACCCACCCACCCACCCACCCACCCATCCACTCATCCATGATCATTCTCCATTACTGAGAATGGCAACGTTTAGATGTATTTGTTGATACTGTGATCCTCCAGGTCCATGGAGTCTGCACCTGCAATTTCAACCAACTGCAGATTGTCACACCTTATATTATTAAATGATGCCAATGAGAACATGGACACCGTCCGCTTGTGATACTGGGTTCTTTGATTGAGTACTTCCTCATTTTTCTGCATGCTGCTGAAAGGTTTTATGGCATCATAAATTAGTTAAATTAGCCTCCCTGCATAAAGCGGTACCTAAATTTCCTACTTGACAGATGCAACTGTCTTTCAGGCTGCATAGGTCGACAGCAAGCTAGACTATTAATGGTCGGGTGCTTACTCCGACCCAGGCTGGCTTTGAACTCATGACCTCTCGGTCAGTAGTGATGTAATGCAGCTGGCTACTAACTGGCTATGCCACAGCCCCGTCTTACTTTGAACTGTGACCTCAGCACAGGCCAATTCACAACACACTTGGCTGTGGTATTTAAAAAATGGCTCCTAGATGTATCAGTGCCTTATGTTAGTGACAAATAAGCAAGAGTGTAAAAGTGACAAGGATGCATTTGGAAACATATATGTTGCTGCAATCTCTCTGTGCTTTCTGAGCCACAAAGACATTGTGCCGTTGTACTCTCTGCCATCCCATCATCTCTTGGGCCGTGTGACGCTTTTCATCTTTGCTGTTCAAAGCGGACCGCAATCACTGTGGATCTCTCTGACCTATTTTAAAGCAATGTGCCCAGAGGCCTGGCAGAGTTTTCATTATAAAGGAGCGATGCAGAATGTCTCACCCTCCAAAGGGTTTTGAACTGCATTTCCCATCAACAATCACCAGTATAGCTAACCATGAAGGATGATGGGAGTTGCAGTCCAACACTACCAGAAGGACCACAGGTTACCCTCATTAATAATAATAATAATAATAATAATAATAATAATGATAATTTATTTATATTCTGCCCTTCTCCCCATGGGGACTCAGAGAGGATAACAGTGTAAACAGATACCAGCAAACATTCAATGCCTTGAGACACACAAACACAAACAAAGGCAGAGGCTTCTCCTTTCATTTCTGGCTTTGGAGGCGGTGCTCATCTCTGGCTCTGGGGGAGGTGCTCTTCTCCATTTCCAAGCCAAGGAGCCTGCGTTGTCACCTTCTAGTCGTGTGACCAGCATGACTGCTTGGAGTGTCTGATGCCTTTCCTGCCGAAGCGGTACCTATTTATCTACTCACATTTGCATGTTTTCGAACTGCTAGGTTGACAGAAGCTGGGGCTAACAGTGGGAGCTCGCCCCATCCCACGGATTTGAACTACCAACCTTCAGGTCAGCAGTTCAGCAGCACAAGGATTTAACCTAATGTGCCACCATGGACTGATCATTCAAAAGAATTTTTCATATGCAGAAAAGTAGAAAGTGTGACCATACATATGTTGTTGAACTGTCTCTATCATCATCTGTTTTCACTGTGCTAGTGATAGCTAGTACTTGTGGGAGCTGCATAGTACAGTAACATATGGATGGCTGCATATGCCACATCTGTAGTTTACGCTTCCTGGTTTTGATAAAGAGGATGCATTTATTCTCACTTTCTAGTGTTGCCCATATTTTAAGAGCTGAAACCTAGTATCTATTAGAATTTCTTGCTGAATTTCTCTTGATGGCTGTGCGTTAGTGAGCAAAGGGAGGGAGCGGTCAGCCTTACCATGGCTCAGGCTACATCTGGTTATGCATCAACAAACACTTATGAGCACCTCTAGAGGAAACTTTGGCCGCACAATTGCCCTGTCTCTACCATGAAATTTTTATAGGGGATCCAGGTGATCTTTCATATGTAGCCTGCCTACATTTTCTCACAGCTTCCTTCGACTCCTCTCTCACCTGACCCCAGGAAATTTGTGAAGGAGGGAAAGGCAGACATGCTAAGTAAAACCATTTAGCGCTTAGCTCTAAGAACCCTCTGCTTGGAAAGGTACACCTTCAAAAACCTCGCCTTTTCTACACCTTACATTATCACTACTATTTCCATGTACATTTTTCTCCCTTGAAAAAGAAGGTCCTGTATCTTGAACTGCTCTTTGAAAACACTGGGGACTCTCTTGTTTTTGTTGTTTGGGGCAATTTTACGATACTACGATCGTATATTGACCATTTCTAAAGGTGGAGTTTGACAATCATGTTGGAAAACCCTCCGCCACTTAGATCTGAAATGGCATCCATACCTAACTCAACACTGTTGCTAACACCAAGATACAGTTTTCTTCTGAGATTTTTTCCCCTCTGTTACCTGTATTCACAAATGACACAGACAAAACTGTGAGGTTCATATGCTCTACTTTTAAAATTATAGAAGGCCCCTGATTTCATGGGGCATAGGATCCTGATAAAAGTTTTAAAAAATGAATTAATTTTTAAAATCTTGAAGAAACATCACTCTAGAAATTTCTAGATCTTCCAGCATGACTCTATGGTTAATTTTGGAATGAAGTTGACCATAAAATTAGAGTGGAGAACCTATCTCCAAGGCTGGATCTACACTGCCATATAATCCAGATGATCAAAGCAGATAATTCAAGTTGTCTGCTTTGAAATGGATTATATGAGTCTACACTGCCATATAATCAAGTTCAAAGATAATCAGGATTTTAGATGCCAGTATAGATCCAGCCTAGGAAGCTCTTGGTTCTCCAGCACAACTCTGTGGTTGTTGTTTATTCGTTCTGACTCTTTGTGACCTTTGTGACTTCTGACTCTTTGTGGCCTCATGGACTAGCTCATGCTAGAGGTCCCTGTTGGCCACTCTCAGACTCTGTGGTAAACTTCCACAAAGCATTTTAGGCTGGATCTGTGTTCGCATAACAAAAATCATATGTAGTTCACCTTTTATCAGTCCACACTGTCTTGCTAGAGAAAGAAAATATGTCACACAGATGATCAATAAAGAACATGTTGTTTACTCTTCATAATGCAGAACAACATATTTACAGTCATGAGATCAGTTGCACTGACTCACACAACATCCTTTTTGAGAGAGATAAAGGGTCTTTCAGTGTCCATGTGGAAAATCCCCTTCCAGCAGCTCATGAAGCTGTCTTTCTGCAAGCACTTGCACAGCTCAAGCCTAAATATGTAACTGTTGCCAAAACTCCCAGGCTCAGCTTGCTCCCTGGGTGTGGCCTAACCAATCAGCTTCATGCCTTGCATTTTACAGTTAACACACTCACTAACTGATTTCTTACATGCTCCAACAATCTACACTGCCATATAACCCGGTATCAGAATCCAGATTATCCACTTTGAACTGGATTATATAGATCTACAGTGCTATATTATCAAGTTCAAATCAGATAATCTGGGATCAGAAACAGGACAGTGTAGATCCAGCCTAAAATGCTTTGTGGTAGTTGACTACAGAGTGGTGCCGGGGAACCAAGAGCTTCCTAGGATGGATTTATGCTGCCATATAAAATCCAGATTATTTGATTTGAACTGGATTATATGGCAGTGTAGACACATAGAATCTATTTCAAAGCAGATAACATGGATTACCTGCTTTGATAATCTGGATTATATATTGGTGTAGATCCAGCCTTAGAGATAACACTTCTCTAGGCATTTGTAGGTCCTTCAGTCCAATGTTATGGTCAACTTCATCCTGAAAACTAAAACAGAGTGTATGAAGTTACAAACACTTAAAAAATGTAATATAGTCAATTAAATAATATATTTAATTAAAACACTCTTTTAAAAACATTAAAATTTAAAACAACAAGATCAATTAAAGCAGCTTGCTCATCCCTCTTCTAAGGAGCTCAGTATTTCTCTTTCATGCTGTTGTGTGCCTTCCAATCGATTTCAACCTAAGGACCCTATCGCAGAGGTTTTTTTTTCTGATGATGAGAATATGTAACTTGTCCAGGGTTGCCAAGTGGGTCGGGGATTTGAACCCTGGTCTCCAGAGTCATAGCCCAACATTCAAACAATAAACAACTCTATAAGATAGGAAGAAATAAGACAGAGCCATGTTGCTAGTTAGTGTTGTCTCTCCTGGCTAGACTGTCGAATCAACAGTGACCTAGATCCAGTTGCAATCTCCAGCAGCAGGAGACATACGGAATGCATTCCTGAATGATAAATTAGCAAATATGTAAATTCATTTAATTCAACACATCTAATCTAGTTGAGACTAGCAGTTGGATTTAGGTCAGCATGTTAAATGCATGACTGAGTGTCACCTGTCCAGCTGTTTTGCTTTTATACCACAGGATTTAAACCATAGAATAGGAAGATGTTTTAAAAAAAAATCTCGATGGCCCACTGGGGAAGACAAAAAAATCACACATCCATGTACTTAAAAATGTCATTCAATCAAAGAAACAAACTGCTATTGCTATTAATAATGTCTACCAGGAATGTTACGGTCACTCCTTCATGTCCACAGATTCTGCATCCACATATTCAACCATACACAGATTGAAAATAATAATTAAAAATTTCAAAATTCAAAAATTGATTTTGCTGGGTTGCTGTGAGTTTTTTTTATTATATGGCCATGTTCCAGAAGCATTCTCTCCTGACATTTCCCCCACATCTATGGCAGGCATCCTCAGAGATTGTGAGGTCTGTTGGAAACTAGGCAAGTGGGGTTTATATATCTGTGGAATGTCCAGGGTGGGAGAAAGAACTCTTGTCTGCTCGAGGCAAGTGTGAATTTTGCAACTGCCCACCTTGATTAGCATGTAATGGCCCTGTACCCTCAAAGCCTGGCTGGTTGCTGCCTGGGGGAATCCTTTGTTGGAAGGTGTTTGCTGGCCCTGATTGATCCTTGTCGGGAAGAGCAACACTAAAAAACAGGGGAATTCCAGACAAGAAACAATCAGCGCCAGCTAACACCTCCCAAAAAAGAAATATTGTGTCCAGTTCTGGGCACCACAATTCAAGAGAGATATTGACAAGCTGGAATGTGTCCAGAGGAGAGCGACTAAAATGATAAAAGGTCTGGAGAACAAGCCCTATGAGGAGCAGCTTAAGGAGCTGGGCATGTTTAGCCTGAAGAAGAGAAGGCTGAGAGGGGATATGATAGCCATGTATAAATATGTGAGAGGAAGCCACAGGGAGGAGGGAGCAAGCTTGTTTTCTGCTTCCCTGGAGACTAGGACGCGAACAATGGCTTCAAACTACAAGAGAGGAGATTCCATCTGAACTTGAGGAAGAACTTCCTGACTGTGAGAGCCATTCAGCAGTGGAACTCTCTGCCCCGGAGTGTGGTGGAGGCTCCTTCTTTGGAAGCTTTTAAACAGAGGCTGGATGGCCATCTGTCAGGGGTGATTTGAATGCAATATTCCTGCTTCTTGGCAGGGGGTTGGACTGGATGGCCCATGAGGTCTCTTCCAACTCTTTGATTCTATGATTCCCCCAGGCAGCAACCAGCCAGGCTTTGAAGCTACAAGGCCATTCAATGCTAATCAAGGTGGCCAATTGCAACAGTCACACTTGCCTTAAGCAGACAAGAGTTCTTTCTCCCACCCTGGACATTCCACAGAGTGACCATTCATCCCATTTCTGTCTGTTCCATCTACAGTGTTCTCCTTATGATGCACTTTCCCCCATCCTAAATTGAAGGCTTAACCATACTGTTCGTCCTTTTTGGGCTCCTCTAAAATACACTTTTTCTAGTCCTACCTCATCTAGGGTTTTATCATTTTATCTTGTCCATTTGGGTTGCCCATTGTGTTCGATTTTCTGTTATGCTATTTTGCTTTGTGTACTTTATTTTGCCACTGTATGGCGGAATATAAATAAAGCTTATTATTAAATTATATTATTCTTTCTCCCACTCTGGACATTCTTCCACAGATAGATAAAACTCCCAGCAACCCAGTGATTCCAGCCATGAAAGCCTTCAACAACACACTGATTTTGCTTTTTTACAGAAGGGATACTATATTACCATAATGGGATTTTCACATTCCTAGATTTTGGTATCCATGCAGAGTCCTGGAACCAAACAATAGCAGATGCTGTGGGTCTACTGTATTTAACAAAAAGCAATGGCTATGCCACATGCAATCATAAATTCAATATATCAGTTACACGCAATTTACATATATTAATTTATGTAAACCATAACAAAGCATAAAACTATTACAAAACCTGATGGGCATATGATGGATTGGACTGTATCCATACAAGCTTATGTTCTTGGAAACTCTTATTGGAATGTAGTAAATAAGGAAATGAATAATATAATTAATTACTTTTTATACAACAGTGTTAAAATAATAATATAGTTTTTAACACCTTTGCCTGCTGAAGAAGCCAGTGGAGCATTGAAAGCTTGTTACATGTTTAGTTGGCCCAATTAAAAAATAATCACTTTTTGTGGATTTTGACTGGTGCTGTATTTTGCTTTATAGCTCTCAATATGTTTCCTGATTTTTTTCCACTAATTACCTATTAAAAGTTTTTCTTTCTTCCTTCTGGTTTCTTTCCAGTGCCTATTAAAGACTTTTCTTCTGACATGCAAGTTTATGACAGCGACAGACAGAGTGTGGGGTCTGTTGAGAAATGCTGCCAGTCCCTTACATGGCAGCCATATCGAAAGTCTTCCTGGAGTAGCCTGTTTAATCATAATTATGAAAAACTGTAAGTGCCTTTCAAGATTTATCATTACTTTAATGTATATTTAATTTAGCACTGTAATACTCAGCTTGCTGTGGAAAGATATGAGGAGAAGTTACATAATGGATTGTGTTGTACATATGGTGTTTCTGCTACAAACTTGTACTTGCTAGATCTTTCTTTCCAGGGAGTCTTGAGAACATAGAATTGAGTAGCCTAAGTGGACTGTCCTTTTTATATGTTCGTTATCTGGACACTATGACCCCTTCTACACTTCCAAATAAAATCCAGATTATCTGCTTTGAACTGGATTATATGGCAATGTAGACTCACAGTCTTCTTATATCCCGAATAGACTACTGCAATGCGCTTTACGTGGGGTTGCCTTTGAAGACTGTTCAGAATCTTCAAGTGGTCCAATGGGTGGCAGCCAGATTCCTCACTGGAGTGGCATACAGGGAGCATACAACACCTCTGTTACGTCAGCTCCACTGGCTGCCAGTTTGCTGCCAAGCACAATCCAAAGTCCTGGCTTTAGCCTATAAAGCCCTAAATGGTTCCAGCCCAGCTTACCTGTCTCCCTCTATGAATCATCATGTAGATCAATGGTGGGCAATCTTTTGAACTTGGTGTGTCAATACTTGCCAAAAAACTAGCATAACTCGGGTGGGGTGTCACTTCGAGAAAAAACCATAATTTAATTATATTTATAATTTATTAACAAAAATATATTATTGTAATATATAACTGTATTTAATAAACCAAAAACTATTTATTTATCTTACCTGCTTTTTCTATAATGCCATATATCTTGGCATTATAGAAAAACGCTGGTGTAGGAGCCAAGGATGAAACGTGGCCCTATCTTCTCTGTATGCGGCCGCATGCGACCGCATGCGACCGTGTGTCATCGAAAATGGCTACGTGTGTCAGTGCTGACACACGTGTCATAGGTTCGCCATCATGGATGTAGATTAAGATCTTTTGGGGAGACCCTGCTCTCGATCCCACCTCCTTCGCAGGTGCAGTTGGTGAGGACTGGAGACAGGGCCTTCTCAGTGGTGGCCCCTCAGCTATGGAACTCCCTTCCCAGTGATATTCAATCAGCTCCTTCCTTCCTAGCCTTCAGAAAGAAAGTAAAAACATGGCTATGGGACCAAGCTTTTGGAGAATAGCCGCAGTGCAGTAAATGAATGTAGAATCTGTGCAATGACAACTAGAATGTCTCTGGATTATGACCTTGGATTGTGTGATTTTAATAACTGATGTAATTGCTTTAAGATGTTTTAATTCTTTAGGTTTCAACGTAAATGCTTATTCAATTGTATGTTTTTTTATGGCATTGAATTGTTGCCGATGTGTGAGGACGCTCTGAGTCCCCCTCGGGGTTGAGAAGGTGGGGTACAAATGTGGTAAATAAATAAATAAAATCCAGTTCAGAGCAGATAATGTGGATTACCTGCTTTGATAATCTGGATTATATGGCAATATAGAAGGAGCCCTAGTCTGCATACCTTCAAAGATTTAACAGATAAACATTGGGACATGTATGACCTGAATGTTTTTTTTAAACCATATATCTTTCTTGATTTTGATTCAGTCTTTTAGGTGAACAATTAAAATATGAAGATTTTAGTAGGGAGAGATATGAGGGTGGCGGGGAGGGGGGTCATTAATATGCAAATTAGTTTAAGATACAGAAAGTAATGACGACGTTAAAAGAATTAAATATTTACATTAATGAATACACTGTTTACAGTGTGTGAGATGGAGCCCATGGTAGTGCAGTGGGTTAAGTCCTTGTGCCAGCAGGATGACTGACCAAAAGGTCAGTGGTTCGAATCTGGGGAGAATGGGTTGAGCTCCCTCTGTCAGCTTCAGCTCCCCATGCAGGGACATGAAATAAGCCTCCCACAAGGATGGTGAAACATCAAACATCTGGGCGTCTCCTGGAAAATGTCCTTGCAGACGGCCAATTCTCTCACACCAGAAGTGACTTGCAGTTTCTCAAGTTGCTCCTGACATGAAAAATAAACGTGTGTGAGATTTTGGTGCCCATCAATAAGCAGAGTGGAATAGGAGCTGGGGGACGATTGCTCTTGAATATAAAAGAAAATGTTGGCCATATAACTAGTTAAAAACTGAGCTTGGAAAAGTTATTGCTTTGTACTATGACTCCTATGGAGCTCTCCGTCAGTATGAGTGATTTTTCTAAGTTCTGATAAATGGCCTCATTTTTTTTACTTGTTTTTCTCTGAAACGCAACATCTTTTTATGGTTCCCTTTTCTAATTCAGAAGAGATAGGAAGAGCCATTTTATGAACCAGGTTTTTTTGACTGATGTACTAAACTCTCATGAAGAAAATTGGTCTCAAAGGAACCAGTGGATTTTTATTCATTAGCCTGAAAAACCATAGATATACATTTTTCCTAAAGGGTATACATTAAACCATTCTAACTTCTAATGGCTGAATGAAAATGTGGGTTCTGAAGAGCTCCCCTCTTTTTGGACTCCTTGAACTTGCATTTAAAGAGTTGCTTGAAAGTAAGTAAGGCAGGGACACCCCAGTTGGAGCTATGGAGGGGAATTCAACACAGGAGCCTTAGGAGACCACAAGTGGAACACGAGCCAGGAGTGGGATGCAGCAGCTCAAAAGGCCAATGCAATCCTAGGCTGCATCAAGAGAAGGGTAATCAAGGGAAATCACTGTGTGCCAAGTTTGGTCCAGATCCATCAGTGTTTGGGTTCACAGTGCTCTCTGGATGTAGGTGAACTACAACTTCCCCAAATCAAGGTGAATTTTCCCCAAAGACCTCTAGTCATGGGGGTCATGGTGTATTGTGACAAGTCTTTCAAAGATGAGCAATATAACTTCCTACAAGACTTGAAGTTTTGTGCTTCAACCTGAGGAAGGATGATTGACTAGACCTCTAATTCACTACTTCTTTTGAGAAGATCTTTAATATCTTTCCCTGGAATGGAGTAGGGGAAAATAGCAGAGCAAACAAGGCTTCTGTCTCATGTTTACTTACACAATAAGAGCAATCCTTTAGGCAAATTTGCAAGTGTCAGTATCAGGACATTTGTGTGTGTGTTTGAATAGAATTCTACTCCTAAATCAAGCCTGAATATTGGAAGAATGAATGCCCAAAGAAACTTTCACCATTTATTTGTGTGACAATATTTACAATACAGCCTTGGTTATTTATGGTTGAGTAGTGATTTGCTCCAGGAAAGAAATACAGTTTGCATATGCTGACATGACTGGGGACTATTTCCCAGGAGCCCTTCCCTAATAACATAAGCAATGCTTTATACATTCTTGCAGTGCAGATCCATTTCAGCTATCCTGGAATTCCAGTTCATGGAGTCCCTTCGTGGCATTAATCAACTAATCTCTATTCATTCAATTTTAAAAGCCGCAAAGGACAATGCTGAAATTTGCATTTGATAGCCTGAACCTCTCTCAGTAAGCATTAGCATCCTATCAGCAGCTTGAGGCTACACTAATCCCTGACAAGTAGCTGTGATCCAAGGCTGCTAGGGGACCATCCTGCTCCAGAACTGTATTTAATTTGAAACAGAGCTGGGGGGGAAATACCTTTTTGGACTTTTCCCAGAAAACGACACAGATTGGAAAATTCTGGGAGTTGCAGTCTACAAATGTTACCTTTCCAAGCTCTGATAAGAAGTTAGCCAGGCAATAGCCTTTCTTATCTCTCTGTCTTGTATCTTTACTTGTCACACGCATGCATGTTTCTCTACTACCAGAAGCTGTCCAAAGATCTCCTACTCTCTGAAAGAAGTCCAGCCCTTATTTTCACAACTGCTATGAGGAATGCCTTTCCTCAACCATCTCTACTATTTACTTTCAGTTCCTCTCTTCCTAAAACTCATCATTTTCTGGAAAATATTTAGATTCTTATTTCTCATTGGAACAAAGCCAAGATGCTTATTGCCCCTCTCCGCTATCTGTTTCTCCTTAGAGACCTAACAAACAAATATTTATTACAGAAATAGACCAGCATAAGGAGAATGGGTACGGTTTTATAAAAGCATTATACATTAAAATAATTAGAATCTAGGCTAAAAGCTAGAATAAGGTAAAGGTAAAGATTTTCCCCTGACATTAAGTCTAGTTGTGTCTGGCTCTGGGGGTTGGTGCTCATCTCGATTTTTAAACTGAAGAGCTGACATTGTCTATAGACACCTCCAAGGTTATGTGTCTGGCATGACTGCATGGAGTGCTGTTACCTTCCTGCAGGAGTGGTACCTATTGATGTACTCACATTTGAATGTTTTCAAACTGGGTTGGCAGAAGCTGGGGCTAACAGTGGGAGCTCATGTTACTCCCCAGATTCGAACCACCAACCTTTCAGTCAGCAAGTTCAGTGGCTCAGTGGTTTAACTTGCTGTGCCACCGGAGGCTCCAAAAAGTTAGAATACAGAGGTATGTTAAAATGCTAAAACACAAAATATTATTTGGAAAAAAGACTAGAAGGAAATGAAAAGGGAAGAGAATCTGGAGGGAGGGGTAGAAGCATGCAGGGACAATGAGGAAGCCTAAGGAGGGAGGGGTACAGTCAGGCATGGGTCTAGGGGACTAGGAGGTGGAAGCACTAAATACATAGGTTGTTGTAGGTTTTTCCGGGCAATATGGCCATGTTCTGGAGGCAATTTTTCTCCTGACATTTCGCCTGCATCTATGCTAAATACATAGTTTCAATTTCCTGATAAATTAGAGTGCTGACTTGTTGTACCAGTTATTACCCAAATAATTTTAAGCAGTGCCCTACAGACCTATAACATCTAGTCTTTGCAAACTACCATGTGTGTATATTGGAGATAGAGCAAATCTGGGATATATGTCTAGAAACCTAAAGGCACTCCATTTGGATTCAAAAGCATTCCATGAGCTCCATTAGTTCTGCATATTAATTTTTTTTTCAAAACTGGAAGTGATTGGAAGTCTATTTTCTTTAAGTTTGAGGTTGGAAAAGTAATGTTGATGGTGCTACACAGGCCTGTAGCGGCGGGGGGGGGGGGGGGGGGGTTCAACCTGTTTCAGATTTTTTTTTAAAACCTGGTTTACTCATGAATTTTAACTGGTTAACCAAATCCCCATGCTAAGTCTATGAGATGCAAAAAAAATTAAGAGTCCCTCCAGAACTGCAAGCACTATCTCAAGCAAATATTGGCAATTTATTCACACTGTCATTACTTGCAGCAATAGCCGATGTAGTTGTTCTGGTACAGCTGTACCAGGAGCTCCAACTTTATTTGCTTTGTATTAAATGTTTGCTTGCAGTCCTAGGTTTCAGGGACTCTGCAGATAGGTGGCTTCTTTGGTTGCAGTCATAGGGCAAGTCACCTGTCCATCATCGTTAAGTTTTGGTCCTGCCTCTTGCTCAGGGCAATTGGGAAGGGAGCCATTTTTAGTTAGTCTCAGCAAGGCAAGCTTATGTATAGGATGTGTGCAAGCTTCCCCTGTACAAAAGCTTCAACCCTTAAGACCTTCTGGAGGAGAAAGGTCTTAAGAGTCTCCAAAGAATTTCCAGGAAAACAACCCTAAAGACCAAAGAACTCCAGCTGGAGAACATCTACTGCCTTGCTGGTAGGTCCACTCAGTGTTCGAGAGGCAGTTC